GCTCCTCCCAGGTTTTATCCTGTGCCCAGCTTGGATGAGAGACCCTCTGTTCCATGGGCCTACTTGACATTAGGGCTTCCTCGTGGCAGCTTCATCCTGAGCACTGCCTGTGAGCCCTGGTTCTGGGACTTGCCAGTCGCCTCCCTGGAGGGTCTTTCCAGACCCAGCATTAGAACCAGAGACCTGCAGATCCACTCAGATGTTTCTGCCCTTCATCCCCGTCCTGTGAATACATAGAAGGAAAAGGTCTATCCCATTCTGCATAGACTCTGCTGTTCCCTCTCCATCTGCCCGAGGCAGCGTCTCCTTCCATCACTGCTGCTTAGCAAAAATGTACTTCTTTTGAAAAACTCGTCATTTCTTGAGTGCCCTCTTCTCGGTTTCATTTAAACTTAGACTCAGTAGAGTGTTAGGTTGTCTGCTGACATGGAGTAGAACCTGGATTCTGGCCAAATATGCCAGAATCAGAAAAGTTAAGGTGAGTGTTAGAGTAGGTAGTCTCCTCACCCCAGCACAGGCCCTGAGAGAGGCGAAGCGGTTCGATGGGGTCCAGATGGGAGGGATATCCCAGCCCTTGAGCTAGCATCAGCGCATCCTGCTTTCCAAATCCCCAGCGGCTGGTGGCACTGCATCATGCCCCTTCTTGCCACCCTTCTCTGCTGTGATTTCGAGCAAAGAGGAGCCAGTAAGTCCATTGAGACCAGCTGCTCGCAAAACCCCAAGGACTGTGGCTCTGTGGGGAAGGGCTGGCATTGGTCACGACTCTGCTGGCCACACTGAGTAGGCAGGAGTGTATTTGAGATTTGGAAGTTCTGTTAATTTGGTGGAGTCAGGTGAATGCATAAGTAGCAGATCAGCAGAAAGCACCAGTGTGGCCCCGGAGGCTCCCTCTGTTTTCCTTGCAGTGGAGACCCTAGCACCTTGTGCCTGTTTCCATTTCCCTCTGTCTTTGAAAAGTAGAAATCAGTGGTTTCTTGACTCCTAAATAGCCTCCTCACTATAGAAGGAGCCTGAGCAGGTCAGCAGAACTATGAAAGTTCCCAGAGACCCTGCTCTATGCAGCCCTCTTTCCCATACACAGATATAAATGGATGAGCAGGAAAAGATGAGGCCTGGACCCACTAACATACTTTAGGAAGCACAAGTGTTATAGTTGTGCCGCCCTTTGCCCTGGCTGTTCTAGGTCCCACAGAACACAATTCAACTGGACCAAGAATCAGAATAGCCAGGGGTTTCTCTGAACAGCTCAGGTCAGGCCTCTGGGCTCCTCTGGGGGCCCTGGGACACGATGCCTTCCAGTTTCCATTCCATTATCCCTAGGCCTCCTGACCTGACAACAGAGTGCCCTGGAGAAGTGAGACTATTTTTCCCAATACCTCTTCATGACCAGAAAATGGCAACTAGCCAGTTGGGGTCCAGCGGGGAAGGGCTAGACTGGGCTGTTAGGTAGATACTAGGTTGAAAGGTAGACAGGGAGAGGGCTTCATTAGGGCAAGGCAGGCCCACTTCCTGTGGCCCCAGACCCTGGCAGGCAGTCATGCTGAAACCGGGCATCTCCCTCACACCTGGGGAAAGGTTTGGGGCCATGTGTTGCCTCCTCATCCCATTAACGCTAGAAATCTTCTGGTTTGAGTGGCCCCTTACCCCACATCTGGCCTAGGTCTGAAGACTGCAGAAGGATGGTCATGGTGGGCCTGTCCTAGAGCCTGGCTATCTGGGAAACAGGAGGGCAGTGGGAAGGGCGTTGTGGCCCTGCTGGGGCCAAAGGCAGTTTTCTGTGCTCCCTTTAGCCCCAGCCTGGCTGGCCAGGTCTCTCTTCAGGGGACCATGGGGCCGCCCAAGCCCATCCCCTTCCCGTTCCAAGCTCTCCCCCCATGACTGCTGATTTCTGGCATGTGGAGGCAGAGCTGTGAATCCACAAATGCTGCAGCCCATACCTTGTAATGTGTCTGTGTCCACTTAGAGCCTCACGACCTGGCTGAGTGTGTGTGTGTGCGTGTGTGTGTGTGCATGTGTGTGTAGTGTAGTTTGTAGTTGACAATATGTGTACATAATAGATGGTGTATTTATATGTGAGTGCAGAATTAGTGCCTGTGGCAGTTTTCTGTATTTTAAACCCATTGGATTGATTAGTTCTATTTTAGGGAAGTGGAAAAGGGGGTGTTGGGGAAGTATAGGAAGAAGGACTCTTAGCAAAATCATTCTCTAGGCCTATTAGTTGCTATCTCCCAGTGAGCCATCATGATGCCCTTTTCAAATAAATGTTAATGTTGCCACCACATGGCTGTCTGTTTGATTTCTTTAAAGTAAATGGTTTTTTGTGAGAAGCAAACGGGATCTGAAAATACCAACAGTGTACCTCTGACATTTAGCCACCTACACCAACCATCACGTTACCTGCCTCAGAGGGAAGAGGTGCAGGGGAAAGAAGGCTACCAAGATGGAAACCTTAAGCCCAGAATGCCCAGCATGGGAGCATCCTCAGTTAGGAAGGCCTAGGCCATTCCTCATTCTAGCACATTCCATGTCAGTTATACTGGGGAACACCTTGTCATAAGAATATGGCTTTCTGGCTGGGTGCCTTGGCTCAACCTCTAATCTCAGCACTTTGGGAGGCCAAGGTGGGTGGATCACTTGAGGCCAGGAGTTTGAGACCAGCCTGGCCAACATGGTGAAACCCCATCTCTACTAAAAATACAAAATTATCCAGGTGCAGTGGCTTACACCTGTAATCCCAACACTTTGGGAGGCAGGTGGATCACCTGAGGTCAAGAGTTTGAGACCAGCGTGGCCAACATGGAGAAACCCCATGTCTAAAAATACAAAAATTAGCCAGGTGTGGTGGTGCATGCCTATAGTCCCAGCTACTTGGGATGTTGAGGTTGGGGAATCACTTGAACCCAGGAGGCTGAGGTTGCAATGAGTCAAGATCGTGCCAGGGCACTCCAGCCTGGGTGACAGAGCGAAACCCTGTCTCAAAAAGAAGAAGAAGAAGAATCTGGCTTTCTTACTAACCTCACATAAAAATTTACCAGGGTGAATTCCCAATTTTTTTTCATTGTGAACTCCCAGAGCATCAAAATGGCACGGGGTTCATGTGTCAGTGCCACACACAGATGCTTCCTAGCTGGCTTTGCTCTATACCACCCCCGGTGTTTCTAATGCATTTGACATATATTTGTGCATCTCTTGTGAGTCTCATGTGAATTGTAAAATGTGTAAATGTGCAAACCTGTGGCCCCAGCATTGTGACAGCACAATGGGGAGACACAAAAGAAACACAACACCTGGCTTCTGCCCTTGAAGAGCGTGGAATTTTCCCAAGAGAAGGCAAGGCACAGATACAGCAAGGAACTTGCCATCCAAGCCAGATGAACTTGCCATCCAGCATGCCCTCCAGTGCGGAGTGGGCTAACAGAAACACTGAAAACGAACAGGGGCACCTGGCAGAGGGCATCACCTGCCCTACAAAGGTGAACATGAGCCTGAGCTTGTACTAAAAAGAGTTGCATTCAAAATGGCAGGGGAGCCAGGTGTGGTGGCTCATGCCTGTAATCCCAGCACTTTGGGAGGCCGAGATGGGCAGATCACCTGAGGTCAGGAGTTCAAGACCAGCCTGGCCAACATAGTGAGACCCCCGTCTCTCCTAAAAATACAAAAATTAGCCAGACATGATGGTGCACTCCTGTAATCCCAGCTAAATGGGAGGCTGAAGCAGGAGAATTGCTTGAACCCAGGAGGCAGAGGTTGCAGTGAGCTGAGATCACACCCCTGTACTCCAGCCTGGGTGACAGAGTGAGACTCTGTATTAACGACAACAACAAAATGGCAGGGGAAGGTCGAGGATTCAGGCAGAGGGTGTAGGAGGATGAGAGACCTGGGAGGAGACCAGCAAGTGTGAGGCAGAGCTCTCATCTGGGGAAATTTGGGAAGCAGGGTTTAGTAAGGAGAGAGTGCCCCAACTAAAGGGCCCTGTCCACCATGCTTAATAGTTTGGAATTGACAGAAATTGGGGTTGGGTTACTGTTTTGATTCTTGAGCCTGGGACTGTGGGGAAAGCAAGATTTTATATACATTAATATGAATAATTCGTATATAATGGGCTGAGGAGAGTGGCTGGACACTGGGAGACCAGTTGGTTAGGAAGCTGTTATCGGAGAGGCGTCGGGGGGAGTACTGAGGGTGAGGAGGAGGGCTGGAGCTGAAACGTGGGGAGGGAGGAGCTTGGGCATAGCAGGAGGGGTCAGAGAGCCTCAGTCAGGGCTTAAGCCCTAGGGGCTGGAAGAAGCAACTGTGTAGTTTGTTGTATTAAACAAATGTGCATCTCCATGATTGTGTGTGTGAGAGATGGTAGGTTTGAACATATGAGTAGCCTGGGAGTGCAAATTGGAACTGATACCAACTCCCAACTCTCACACTTAGCTTCTGTGATAAAAAGATGATCATGTCCATTTTCTCTCATCTTCACAATAACCCTCACACTGGCAAAGAAGGGGTAGATGAGAGAACTACATTTTGAAGAAAAGTTCAGAGACTTGCCTAAGGTCACATGGATTGCTAGGAGCAGTGAGGACTCAGTTCCGCGGAAGCATTACCAAAGCTTCCCATCTGTGCCCTCCCAGGTGTCGTAGACCTCAACCTGTCCAACTGGCTTTTGTTGGTGGACGGGGAGCCGGCAAGTCCTAGCATGCGGGGTCACTCTTGCAGGAATCCTGCCTTTTAACACGTGTGCTAGCTGAGCCGCCTTTCCCACTCAGTGGAGTGTGTGGAAAACACAGCCATCCTAGAGGTGTTGGAGCCACCCGGAGCCGTCACCCAAACTATTAGATCCCTTGAAGATCCATTTGGGGTGGGGGAGGAAGCACATTTTTCTTCCACGCTCACTACGTTCTGTGAAATATCCTACCACATGGAAACCACTGTGCTCCTCCAATCCACGCTGCTGTTATTTGATGGCTGTGTTTTTATTTTATTCACAGTGTACATTCAAAGTCAGAGGCGGATGTGAAATTTGAAAGGTTTTATTTCCTAACTATAGACAGCTTTAAGAGGCTGAATATCTGCCTCGACCATCTGCCCCAGGCTGGGAGGCGGCAGCAGGGCTGGGGAGGGCAAGGGGCTTTGGGGTCGACCTCCCCGGGGAAGGAAGCTCCGGGGTCTCGCTGCGCCTTCACTGGCCCTTCTTGTAGGCGTTCTTGATAATGGCGTTTTTGAACAGCGTCACCAGGGGCGTCTGGCTCTTCTCGGAGGTCATGAAGCCGCCGTAGCGCTTGTCCTTGGGCGGGCTGCCCCAGCGGAAGTGCTCCATCCTGTACGGTCCTTCGTCTTTCTTCTCAGCCGCCACCAGCAGGCCGTGCTCCAGGTCGGCCTCGGCGCCCGCGCCCTCGTCGGTAGGGCTGTCGGGGCCATCTCCCGCCAGGGGCCGCTGGTCGGCCAACTCCCTCTTGAACTCCAGGGGGAAGGCCTCGGCCGACTCGTTCTCGGCGCTGTTGGGGTACACCTTCACAGGGCGCCGCTTCTTGCCCACCGGCTTGCCCCAGCGGAAGTGCTCCATGGAGTAGGAGCGCTTGCCCTCGCGCGGGCCCGGCTCCGCGCCATCGCTGCGGGGCTCGGGGCCGTCCTCAGGGAGCAGGCCGCGGTCTTCGCCCGCCGCGAAGTCCTCGCGCTTCTGCCCTGCGCCGCCGCCGCTGCTGCTATTGCGGCGACCGAAGCGGTCCCAGCGGAAGTGGCTCATGACGTACTTCCGGGGGTTCTCGGTCAGCGGCTGCTCGTCACCATTGCCAGGGAACACTGGAGTCTCAGCCGAGAGGTCGGGCTTGCAGGCCCGGATGCACTCCTGGGGGAAGACGCCATGGCATGAGGGCAGCCCATGCCCTGCACCCCTGCCTGGCCGCCGCGCCATCCACTGCGCCTAGGCCCTGGCGGCCGTCACCACGTGCGGGGGACGCAGGGTGCGGGGGACGCAGGGCGCAGTGCCCAGCGTGTCAGGCGTCGAGGCCTCCCTACGGAGCAAGTCTGCCCACCTGTCCTCTTGGCACTCGTGGGCATCTAAGATCTTGCCACCACCTCTTCTGTCTCCTTCCCTGCATGCTTCTTGCCTGGCAACCGCCAACAAACTCCCCATCCCATTCCGTGGTTTGTCTAGCCATTTAGCCGCCCCTAGCTTTTGTGAACAGGACCGAAGTCCTACTGTTATGTCTGACATAAAGAAGTGGCTCCAAGGGTCCAGGCGCGGTGGATCACGCCTGTAATCCCAGCACTTTGCGAGGCCAAGGCGGGCAGATCACAAGGTCAGGAGATCCAGATCATCCTGGCCAGCATAATGAAACCCCGTCTCTACTAAAAATACAAAAAAGTTAGCTGGGCGTGGTGACGTACGCCTGTAGTCCCAGCTACTCGGGAGGCTGAGGCAGGAAAATTGCTTAAACCCACGAGGCGGAGATTGCAGTGAGCCGAGATCGCACCACTGCATTACAACCTGGGCGACAGTGAGAGACTCTTGACTCAAAAAAAAATAAAAGAAGTGGCTTCAAAAAAGGCAGACGGATGGTCGTTGTTGGTTCTTTATGAATATTGAGTGCGGTGGCTCAGGCATGTAATCGCAGCACTTTGGGAGCCCGAGGCAGTTGGATCACCTGAGGTCAGGAGTTCAAGACCAGCCTGGCCAGCAGGGTGAAACCCCATCTCTACTAAAAAACAACAACAACAAAAAACTAGCTGGGTGTGATGGCAGGCTACTCGGGAGAGGCCGAGGTAAGATGCAGGAGAATCACTTGAACCCGGGAGATAGAGGTTGCAGTGAGCCGAGTTCACACCACTGCACTCCACACTCCAGCCTGGGCAACAGAGCAAGGTGCTGTCTCAAAAAAATAAAGAATACTGAATAAATACATATGGTTTAATTCAAGACCAAGAGGGGAGTGGGACTGAAGTTTACGGGATAATCTCTCCAGGCGATAGAAGTCTGACTACTAGGGTCTATATTTTTAAGCATAGTTTAAATAATGCCTCAACCTTACCTCAGTGATGGAAAACGTACTTTATGCCCCACCCCAGCTCCATCTCTGCACTATGCCTCCAAAACTGCACCTTGGTTCTTTCACGACTTAGGAGCTGATCTCTGTGGGAGATCATTTCCCTGTAACCTCATTCTGAGTGGAGGGACGGGTAGAAAGCTAGGATTAGTTCTATTGCTCTATCTGTGGGACCTGTGTCTCTCTGCTCTTTGTCCCTAGTGGACTCAATTGTGGTACATATTTGCTTAGGAAAATGGCTGTATAGGCTGCAGCCTTGAGTTTTCAGTGATAAAAAGATGAAAAGCCCACTGGCTGCTCTCTTACTTGGGAATAACAAAGTTGAAAATAAAAGGATCCTACCCAGTATGTTAAGCTGAACATAGCCTATTCCAGGTGTTTAGAATTACAACACTGTGGAATGTTAACAATGGAAAATTAAAACTAATTTGCATTCCCCTCCCCTGGAGAGACAATGAAGCAGGAGGCTCAGAGAGGTGAAAGGACCTGGTCAAGGTCCCACAGCTTAGAACTGGGACTAGAATGCATGGGTCCTGACTGTGTCCAGGGTGCCCTCCCTAGTTGTCTCAAGTCAAGAGACTTGGATCTCTCTGAACTGAAACTCGCAAAATCCCCTGGGCTCTTAGTTTCTCTTTTACATTACACATGAAAAATGGTCTGTGTCTTTGAGAATCGCATTCTCTCTTCACCTTAACTCAGCTTCTCCATTGACAAAATACACAGAATGTAGATATACATTCCACCCTCAGCACCTGCCAGATGTTGGCAACAGAATAAAATCCCAGTCATTGATACTAGCAGTGTGGGGTTTTTTTTTGTTTGTTTTGTTTTGAGACAAGGTCTCATTCTGTTACCCAGATGGGAGTGCAATGGCATGATTATAGCTCACTATGACTCCTGGCCTCAAGTGAACCTCTCAAGTAGCTGGGACTACAGGCACATGCCACCACACCTGGCTAACTTTTTTATTTTTTGTAGAGATAGGGGTCTCACTATATTGCCCAGGCTAGTCTTGAATTCCTGGGCTCAAGCAATCCTCCGACCTTAGCCTCCAAAAGTGCTGGGATTACAGTCATGAGCCTTCTCACCTGGTCTCAGTGTGCTTTTAATCTCTGGATTTGGCATCATTACTCATTTATGCCCCCTAACACACACACACACACACACGCACACCACATGCACATGCATGCAGATACTTATACCCTGTGGTGACCTGGAGGGAGCTCCCACCTGACACAAAGGGCCTTCACGTGCTCTGGAAATGCTGCAGAGGAACATGGTAGAAGGCCAGTTCTCCAGAAGGAGCATGAGACATTTGGCACCAATTACAGAAGAAAAAAAAAAAGGTCCCCTGGTGTTTCCTTTTTCCAGAGATGATTTGTAGAACTACCTGGCTGGTTTTGCAACTGGCAATAGATAAAAGGGGAAGAAATAGGAAATGAAAATGACATGCTATATGAGCTTCTTAAAAATGAATAGTTTGGGAAGGTAAAGATTTAAAGTACAGAATAGATTGAGAGGGCAATTATTGCTCTTGTGGCACCATCTCTAGTTTAAGGGGTTCAGGGTCTCCATAGAAGATGAGGCAGAAAGTAAGGATAACCAAGCAGAAATTGTGGATTTGGCTGGGCACAGTGGTTCATGCCTGTAATCACAGCACTTTGGGAGGCCTAGGCGGGCAGATCATGAGGTCAGGAGTTCAAGAGCAGACTGACCAACATGGCTAACCCCTGGCTCTACTAAAAATACAATAATTAGCTGGGCGTATTGGTGCGCACCTGTGATCCCAGCTACTCAGGGTGCTGAGGCAGGAGAATCACTTGAACCCAGGAGGCGGAAGTTTGCAGTGAGCAGAGATCATGCCACTGCACTCCAGCCTGAGCAACAGAGCAGACTCTGTCTCAAAAAAAAAGAAAGAAAGAAATTGTGGACTTGACCCATCTCCCTGAAGCTGTTTCCTTCCCTCGTTCCTTCCCCCTTTTCTTACTTCACTGCAAAGTTCTGCTCCTGCCCTGGATTGAATCATGCCTGTCAGTGGGAATGAATTAACCCCTTTCCCACACCTCTTTTGAGCTTTCCCAGCTCCAGTCCCATCTGATGTCTAACCCAAGATGACAACCATGGCCCACATACCAGCAGGTTGCTTTCGGTGGTGAGATCCTGACACTGGCTGCTCTCCAGGCACCAGCCACGCACTTCCATGGAGACCTGAAGCAGCAAGGCCAGCAACAGGGCCCCTGAGCGGCTGCAACACGATCTCAGCATCTTCTAGGCGGGCTGAGCCTCTTCAGAAGCAAACAAGGTTGGTGGGACCCCTGCAAGGAGCAAAACAATGTTGGCCGCTCACCAGGAAGGACCTTGAGCCAACATTAACAACACACTCTCTTGTGGAGTTAAAGGCATTTTAAGGACAGGAGCAATGCTGAGAAAGGAGGTGTGTAGGGTGGTGGTATAAGTTGTAAGGAGGAGGGAATGGACCTGGGTAAGCTGTGGGCATTTCCCTGCTATCTTGTATTAGAACCAGACCCCTGAAAAGGTTAAGGCTGGAAGCTATTTTGGGGATTGCTTGGTTCAGCCCCTCCTATGAGAGATGGGAAAATTGAAGCCCAAAGATAGACAATTACTTTAATGTTCATGACAAGGTAAATCTAAGCTCCTAGCACAGAACTTTCCTATTTCACTGCATAAAGCTGTAGTTCTAACATGCTAGATCTAAGGGGTGAAAATAACTTGGGAAAAACAGAGAACCCTGAAATTTCTGCTCACGATGGGCTTTTCCCCTTTTATTCCACCAGAATCCTACCATTTCTCTGAAACTGTATTTCCTGTGAGTATTAGGTTTACAGAAAAGCAAATAAAACTACTGGCCAATTTAGGGAACACTTCAAGCAACCTGATTTGATGTCCTGCACACAAATTACTCTGGTGATCACTATTATCCAGACTCCAGTAACTCTGGAGAGCTTTGTTTTTAAAGCAGATCTCAACTCTTAAAACTGGCTCATCTTCTGAACACATCACATGTCAGATGTCTTGTTCTCTAGGTCTCTCAAATGTGGTCTGAAATGACTGGATATGAAGAGGATGCAGGTGTGGAGAAGAAAGAAACAGACCAGAGGGAATTACTTCCTGGTGGAAGAGCCATTTGAGATACTTTTGGAGAATCCAGAAAGTGCCTGGGGCAGAAGCTGAGATCAAGATACCAGGGGACAGTAAGGAGGGGGCACCCATGGTGCCCCTAGCCCCTTGTGCCCACCCCTTTCTCCAGCACTGCCCTCTTGCTGCCAAATTTCTCTTAACCAGGTGGGCCCACTGAAGCCACCTCGAGATGTGAGATCAGCTCACCACCGACCCTACATTTGGCTTTCAGAAGATCTTCTCAGCCAGCTGCTAGAAAAAAATGTAATTAGATGAGAAAAGTAATTCACATGAAAGTGTGGATGACTAAGTGTCTCGTCACTCCTAATGAACTCTGGTATGTTAACATAAGTTTGCCTAAAAGAAATCTCTCATTTGGAGAGGCGTGGGCCAAATCTTTTTTCATAGAGGAGGCTTTGGAAGTGAAAGTCCTCCCAGGCGCTCATTGTCTACTTCAGGAAGCCACTTCCTTCTCTCTGCCCCACCCTCATCCTATTCCCCAAGGCGCCAGGCCAGCACAGGGCTCACTTTGGGATTGCTGGGCAAGGCTGAGCATTCTCAGAGCAGCCGTTAGATGGCGCTAGCAGTCAGTGACTGGCCTAGGGGTGCTTTTGCCAAAGGGGCAACTGAATGAGCATTGGTCAACCTTGGTGCCCTCTCCTGGCTCCAAGGGACAGGCTGTTCCCATTGTAGTCTACCAGTGATCCAGTTCAAGTACACAGCCTGAACTTGGTGGACCAGCAATTAGATTAAAGCCCCAAGATGACCATAGAACATTCAGGTCTGAAAAATGCCCAGATGTTACAGTCACAGAAAAATGGTAGTTATGTATGTCACCAAATGCAAATGTAAAGTAACATATTAATAGAAAAAATAATAAAATCATATGTCTGATAGTTCCCTCGACTATATTTCAATTCTCGTCAAAGATGACCGTTCTGGAATGATTTCTATTTGTTAGAAGTCTACGTCAAGACTTCAGGCCTGAAAAGCCCCAGAGAACTTTCCCCTCCCACCCCATCGGCTCTGTTGTACAATGTGGTAACATGTTCACTCCCACCCTCTCAGAGCTTTTATTCTATTGCTAAAATGTTAGACACCTGCTGTTGCTAAAATTTCAGATGCTTTCCTGAAAGATAATTTTGTGTTTGTATTGTATATTTTGCCTATGTGTATTTTCAGTTTTCTACAATGAACAAATACGACCTTTTTGTATCTTTTTTTTTTTTTTTAAGACAGAATCTTGCTCTGTTGCCCAGGCTGGAATGTAGTGGCATAATGCAGCTCACTGCAACCTCTGCTTCCTGGGTTCAAGTGATTCTTCTGCCTCAGCTTCCTAAGTAGCTGGGACTACAGGCACATGTCACCATGCCCAGCTAATTTTTGTATTTTTAGTAGACAGGGTTTCACCGTGTTGGCCATGATGGTCTCAAACTCCTGACCTCAGGTGATCCGACCGCCTCGGCCTCCCAAAGTGCTGGGATTACAGGTGTGAGCCACTGCACCCCGCCTTGTGTCATTTTTAAAGCAAGAAATTATTGGGGAAATATCAAATGCAGCGCTTTTTATAAGTAGGGAAAGTTATAATCCAAAGATGAAAAGCTCTGGAAAAATAGAAACTTGCCATTTGCTCATTTTGAGATTAACTTTATGTAGAACTACACTTATTAGAACTTCATAGGTGTGAGGGAGCTCTCTATGAGCTCAACAAATCATTTTGCTTGTTACTCTAAAACTGCACGCTGGCCATGCCCTTCTGAAAGATTAGAGGAACACAGGGGCGGAGTTTTTTCCTTATACCATGACACACATGCATTAAGTCCTATAACAAAAGTGTCAAAGGAATATTAAGTCATTAAAGTAGCCATAATCTGTGCATAGCTTATAAACTGAGAAGGAAAACACACACGCTTGTATTTTCCTTGGCTCCTTCCAGCCATTCTATAAGAACCCTCCCTGCTTCATTTAAACATGAAGAATTTGGGGACTCCAAACGCCAAATGGACTGTCTCTCCTTCGCTGGAAACGCCCCTTGCCTGAGCCTTGATTATTCCAAACGGCTGCCGGCACCCACAACCCAGGGTCTGAGCCATAAACAGCCCACCCCAGGGTCCTGTTGAAGCTGTCCCGTTTCAGGACCCGGGACAGCTCCCGCCCGGCCACCTGTTTTTAACCCCAGCTAGGTCTTGGAGAGGAGGCACTCAACTGTCCTGAATTGTAATTACTGACCCAGGAATCATAGCGTGGCCACCTCGGATGCGCTAAGGTGGGTAAGGAAACAAGGAATTCAGGGATCCGAATCACCCCCCAAAAACGTTTTGAGAGACAGGGCGTTCATTATGACTTTTCTCTGCCGCCCCGTTTCCAACATTCATTTGCGATAGCGTGTATGGAATGTTACTTTCCAGAAGTGACACCTATCCTGGAAATTGGGAGCAAAATATACTAAAAGATCGGGCTCTCCCAAGACCTCCTAGCAGGCGCTCGGAGCCTCCGGGGTCCTAGCAGCCCGCGACCCCCATTTCCACCCTAGCGCCAGACCGCGGACCGCGTTAGCCCCGGGGCTGGACGCGGGCCCTCCCGCTCAGCTGCCAGCGGCTTCTCACGCCGTAGTCGGTGCAGAAAGTTTGCGGAGAACTCGGGACCGCGGCGAGCCAGAGGCGCCCAGGTCCGACTTCGGAGCCGGAGCCGAAGCCGGCCGAGAGCGTCGCGAGGACTGGGACAGGGAGTCCCGGGGAAAGAGCGCGGTTTCCCCGCTGCGCCCTTACCTGTCCCGGGAGGCTGCTTTCTGTGTGCGAGGACGCTCGGCGGCTTCTCTTGATCGCTGCTCTCCTTCCTCTCCTTCGCCGCCGCTTGGTCCCGCGCTCCTCTGTCCTTTTATACTTAACGAGTTCTCCCGGTGGGCGCGGGACCTTGACCTTCCCAGCAGCGCAACTAGCAGCTCCCAGGGCCCGGGGAAGGGGGGCCGCGGGGCGTGGGAGGGGGGCTTCCAGACGGGGGATGAGCGCAGCGGAGACGCACCTGGAAAGGGGCTAGAATTAGCACTGTCCTGCCGAAGGCGCACCTGGCTGCCCTCCCTCAGGAAGAACTTAATTACGGATGGCGTTGGGTCTCCACTTTGGACGGGCAGGAAGCTTAGCACCCCGGTGTGGGGCAGGCCGGGCTCCTTCTGAGGTCGTTAAGGCGAGGGTTAAGTTACCTGCGTGCGTGCTGGGGCTGGCACCTGCTCGTTCGCATTTGGCGGTAAATATCACCGCAGAGCGAGTGTGTCCGTGAGGCCTCCGATTTCTCCATTGTTTGGAAACTGTGATGTGGAAGTCCTGGGGAATCACATTCTCTCTGTTCCATTTTGGGGAGGGGAGGAGGGAGCAGAGGCCAGGAGCCCTCTTGGGGGTATGAAGGTGAGTTCACTGCTCCCCCGGGGACTACTCCCCAAGGCCCTAGTTTAGGGGAGGCTCCCTTCTGTGACCCAAGCCTCAAGTAAAAAGTCCTGTTAACCTTAGGCCATTAAATGGGGAGAGGATGATGCTGTAAAGAGCAGCTGAAGTGCTTTTCCTGTGGCCTCTGATTTCTCCCTTTGCCATGGCAGGGTGGTCTGGGGACTCTGAGACAATTTTCAATATCCCCCTTGGCCCTGGAGTTCTGGCTTCACTTTAGTTCCAAATATCAGGCCAGAGAGAAGAAGACAGCACTCAAACCAAGCCTAAGAGACTCTACCTTAACCCGGAGTAAAGAAACAAAACCAAATTGTGTGATGTGGTGGGTGTGGGAGGGAGTATTGAGACTAAACTGGACTTCACATCAAGACATTTGCTCAATCTGCCAACTGCTGGAACTTTCCTGATTCCCAATGAGATGCTATTTTTTTTTTTTTTTGATTGATTGTTTCAGACAGTCTTGCTCTGTTTCAGACAATCTCATTCTCAGCTTAGCACAACCTCCACCTCCCAGGTTCAAGCGATTCTCCTGCCTCAACCTCCTGAGTAGCTGGGACTATTGGCCCAGGCTACCATGCCTGGCTAATTTTTGTATTTTTGGTAGATGCAGGGTTTCATCATGTTGGCCAAGCTCATCTTGAACTCCTGACCTCAAGTGATCTGTCTGCCTCGCCCTCCCAAAGTGCTAGGATTATAGGCATGAGCCACCGCA